ACAAGGGGTGTGGCCTAATATGCTAATGTGTTTCTGCTGTTGGGCATGGCCTATTATGCTAATGAGTTCCTGATGGCTGTTTCTGATTCTGACCCATCTCTCGGGGTTCTTTTGAGATGCTTATTGACTTCACTTGTACCCTGTCTTTCTTCCCAACAGGGACTCAAAAGTGGGAAAGGAGGCCCGGTTATGCTCTCTTGCCCAGGGCCTACAAAATCCCGGAGATGGACCTGCTCTCCTTGAACATTATTTGTTTGCATTCAGTGTAGATAATTACATGATTGGGACAGTGAGTAGCTACGGTAGCATTGCTGGGCTGCCCAAGCTCTCTGCCCTGTTGGGAACGACAGATTCAGTGCCACAGGGCATTCGTTGAATGGCTGAGATACGAACTGCATCTTTTACCTGGCTTACAGCGAGCCGGTGCCGATGTCGCTAACAAAACCCCACAAATAAATGCACCAGGGAAGGCATTCGTTTGCCATGGAGATCCCACAGGTCACTTGCTGTGCATAACTGACGTTCACCCTTCCAGGTGCACAAATGCACACATCAGTTGCATATCATCAGCATGCTCTGCCAGTGTTAAACAGATCGATTTGTTTGCACCCATCATGTTAAGACTGGCTTTTAGGCAAACATCAGTTTGCCTCAGTTTTTGTAGGGCTGTCTGAAGGACTAGCTGTCCTACCTATAACACGGCAGTGTTGGAAGCAGCCTTTCTCAAGCGCTTTGGGCAGGTAAAGAACTGCAAAAAAAAAAAAGAGTAAAGGTTATATCAAGAGGACAGCAGCAAGGGAATAAAGCAACATATGGCTTCATTTATAGAGAAAAGGAAAAGTGCAGCTGGAGATCTCTGCGTCTCGGGGAGGGGGGGGAGACCGGTGCTCCCGAACATGGTGGGAGGTGGTGTGAAATGCTGCAGAGGAAGTCCCGACCTCCATCCATCACTCCGGGTGCTGAGCTCAGTCCATCTGATTGTACTCTGCGGAGTTAAGTCGGCCTATCATTTCATCCCCTGGGATCAGGAAGGAAACCAGTCTTGATTGATGAATCTGAGGGTGCAAAGAAGGGAGGTGCAGAGGAGGGATAGAACTTGTGCAAGAGATCAAAGCACCACCACCACCCTTGCGGAAACGCAGAGGTTATGGTGCCAGTCCTTCCAGCAAGATAGTGCTCTCCAAAAACATACGCTACTGAGCAATTCAAACCATGCAGAAAGCCAGTCAGAGCTCAGGGAACCTCTGGACGGTGATGTTATCTCGGTCCGTAGTCGTAGCTGGTAGGAGCTCCTGCGGTGGAATACATGTTGGCTGCAGCGGCTGCGGCTGCCGCCGCCGCTGCAGCTGCCGGATTCATGTGGTGGTGATGGTGGTGGTGGTAACTGTGTCCCCGGATGCCGGGCAAAGGGTAGGGTGCCGGTCTGCTCTTTGCTCCCAGGTAATGGTCGTAGGCCGAGACCGGATGTTTGTAGGGGTGATGATGAAGGGTCTCCGAAGCAGAGGGCTCCAGCCGCAGTTCGTGGTGTGGAGGGCTGGGACGGCTTCCTGTTGTACTGGTGAGTGGAACCAGGCCGCCTCCACCGGGCACAGGGAGCGCCGGGCTCAGCACCCGAGACATGAGCTGCTGGTGAGCAGGATCGGCGTGCAGAGGCGTCCCACTGGCTGCTTCCCGCTCATACTCCCGCCGACTCTCAGCTGCATCTGCAACAAGTGCCAGAGGAAGAAGGAAGGGAAGAGGCACAAGGATCAGTAATGCAACAGAGACTCTGGAAGCCACATGGAAATTCCTGGAGTCTGGAGAGAGGACCAAAGAGAAGTCAGGGAGCCCAGTCCTCTTATTGCTTTTTGCCCCCGTGGTTCAAAAGGTGACTTACGCATCACTAAGAATTCAGATGGATACCACACTGTGCCAACATGGCAGACATAGGGTTTGCCAGCACTGCCACAGCAAATGCTTGGAGATTTGGAGGGAGGGTATGACATCATTGCTGGAGGATGCTCTAGGAATTCCAACTGATCTCTGTGGTAAAGATCACAGAGATGTGGGGAAATTCTTAGAGCATCACTATAGAGACCATTTCCCCCCCTCCTCAGCTTATTGAGGGCAGGGGATCGGGGCCAAAGGCAGGGGTTGACCTGCCACAGGCAGGTAAGTGGCAAGCCTAGACAGAGAGAACCCAATTCTATTCTCTCTTCAATATGGTTGCCCCAGTAATTTGACTTCTAGCATGTGACAGGTATTTCAGTACCATCTCAGTCAAAGTCACAATTGCACAGGGCAGGCAAACATGTAAAACAGCCAACAGCAGCTAAATTAAACAGCACTGGACTATGCATGGGACCTGGCTTTAGCGCAAGAGTGCCCATGGCCTGGAGTCAGCACCATTGGGTGTACTTAGAGTGTGGAAAGGCAGAGTCTGTGAAGAGACAGAATGAATCTTAAGACCCAAACCAAACATAAACTCCCAGACCTTGAGCCTAAGCCCATTAGCAGCCAGAGACTGGACCAGTTAGTCTCACTATGTTCAATATTTCCTAGCAAGTGTGGTTAGGAACTTAGGATCACAGCCTTTCTGGGTTGCAGTGCTAAGTATAGCAACATGGAAGTATAAAATCAAAGGGATCTACTTTTGAGGAAACACGGTAAGGATGAAGTCCTGAAGTGTGTTACAGAGCTACCAGCTCTGAGTTTTGTAAGGACATAGCCAAAGTCCTGCAGATCCAGAACAAAGGTTCATCTGACCCAGTAGTGGTCAGTCAGATACTTCCAAGAAGCCAAACAAGCAAGGCATGAAGGCAGTAACCATCCACTTCTGTTGCCCTTTGGTATCTGGCATTTAGTGATCTCATGGCTGCCATCGTGGTCAATTGCCATGGATGAACTTATCGTCCATGAATTTGTTCAATCCTGTTTTCAAACCATTTTACCTATAGGCTGTCTCTGTATCTTGTGGCAGTGAATTCCATATATTTGCTACAGAGTCCATATATTTCCTACACATTGAGTGAAGAAGCATTTTCTTGTTTCATAAATCTTTTTTTTTTTGCTGTTAAATCAAAGCCGACACGGCGACCCGGGGGCTGTTAAATCAAAGCCGACACGGCGACCCTGTAGGATTTTTGAGGCAAGAGATGTTCAAAAGTGGTTGGCCACTTCCTGCCTCTGTGTAGCGACCCTGGAAGTCCTTGGTGGTCTCCCATCCAAATACTAACTAGGGCTGACCTTGCTTAACTTCTGAGCTCTGACAAGATGGGCTGGCCTGGTCTATCCCGGTCAGGGTGTCCTAAATCGAGGGCTGTTTTTGTAGGAAAAGCCCAGCAGGAACTCATTAGCATAATAGGCCACACCCAACAACAGAAACTCATTAGGATTGGCTACAGTAGGCGTGTGTGGCCTAACATGCAAAGGAGTCCCTGCTACAAAAAAAGCCCTGGGTTTGGACAACAAACAAGGTAAACAGAATAAGAAGCAAAAGGTGGGTGTGGCTGGATGAGCACATGTCTGGTAACATGGGGGTGTGGCCTAATATGCCAATGAGCTGTGCTGTCAGGGGTGTGGCCTAATATGCTAATGAGTTCCTGCTGTTGGGTGTGGCCTATTATGCTAATGCGTTCCTGCTGGGCGTGGCCAACTTGGAAGCCAGCCAGAACTCCATTCCTGTGCGTTCCTGCCCCAAAATAGCCCTGCCTAAATCTACTGCCCAATAATTTCACTGGGTGGCCCCAAATTCTGGTATTTCGGGGGACCGGAGTAACCTTCTCCATTACCACTCTTATCCAAAATACTCCCTGCCTCTATTTCCACCCCTTTCACCCAGATAATGAGAGACTGGGGGAGGGCCCTGAACTTGTACCCAATGATCGTAAAGAGCATACACCCTGCCACGTTTCACAGATGGAAACTGGGAAACCCTTGTAACTCCCCTGTTCTCATACCAAGGATTATTGCCTGGGCACCTCACATACTATTGCTGTAAACATTAATTCTTCAATACTTTGCTTTACACTACTCAAAAAAACAAGAAGCCAGCACGAAAAACAATGATAGGCAAGAAAAAAACCCCACATAACCGTCCTACAGTCAGGTGGGTAGCCGTGTTGGTCTAAAGCAGCAAAGTATCATACAACATAATAAAGATGTTAAGCATTATGCTGTATGCTAATTTGCTACTCACCCTAGTCCCTTGGACTGCAAGAAGAACAAATCAGTCAATCCTAAAAGAAATCAACCCTGACTGTTCCCTGGAAGGCCAGATAATGAAACTGAAGCTCAAATACTTTGGCCACCAAATGAGAAGGGAGCACTCACTGGAGAAGACCCTGATGCTGGGAAAGACTAAAGGTCAAAAAAGACGGGGACGGCAAAGGATGAGATGGTTAGACAGTGTCATCGATGCAACGAACATGAAGTTGAGCAAACTTCAGAGGACGGCGGAAGACCAGAAGGCCTGGCGGGAGCTGGTCCATGGGGTCGCAAAGAGTCGGACTCGACTGTGCGACCGAACAACAACAAGAGACAAAATGCCTGGATTCTTCCCTCCCCACCATTCAGGGATTTGACATCTACAGAACCTGGAGTGGAACCTGAATCCTGAACAAATGACAATTCAAGCAAGAATTTGTTTTTTCTTGAGCTAAGAATAATTGAAGGTAGCAAGAAGAGAGGAAGACCCAACATGAGATGGATTGACTCTGTCAAGGAAGCCAAGACTGTTAACAGTAGGACATTTGGGAGGGCATTAATGTATAGGGTCGCCATAAATCAGAAGCAACTTGATGGCACTTAACACACACACACACAAGAATAATTTAACAAGGTGAAAACTGGAACAAAATGGGGACAGTTGAAAATTGTGCAGTTTACTGGGACTGGAAAACAGCGATAATCCCTGAAGTTATGGAAGAATTCCTTTTCAGATGCAGCCTTTCTCCAGTGCTGGATTTTCACCCAGCACAACTAGGGTGTCCTTCATTAAAGAGAAGCCAGTCTGGGTATCACCTTATGCTACTTTGTAAAAGGGGCACGTTCTGCACCAAGGAATGCAGTTATGCTAGACAGTGGGATTCCTTTTCTTTTTCTTTTTGCTTCCTTGCTTGCTTTAAACTTACCATTAGAAAACTTTTACACACACCCCTATAGAAACTGTTCATTTTAATGCGACCGTGTTTCAGAACCAAAACCAAGAAACACTTTTGTTGTTTCTTAATGCAAAGATCTTATGTTAACACAGAAGAGAGGAGAAATGCCAGAAATAGCAGCTCTTTTTTTTTAAATGAAGTGTTTAACATTGTGTTCGGCAGAAATCCGTGCTCCTGGGACAAGACATTCTGACTGTGATAAATAGAGCTGAGTTGAGTGACAAGTTTGCACACGCTTGAAATTTTTGCAATTGTATAACACTAAACAAATAGAGACTTCTCTTTATTTTAATAGGCCTGAAGTGTGCTGGGGGGGAAGGGGCCCCCCGGGTTTTTCTCTTTGCAATTGTTTACTCTGCGTAATGGAAAGAGAATCAATGTGAAGTTCCTAATGGGTATTCAGGGCTCGGCAGAAGGCTAAATACAACTACTGAATTTCAGGATTTGTGGCACATTGCTTTAAAAAAGAAGTAAATAAAATAAAACAGAGCATACAAAACATTGACAGACTGTGGTGAGAATTCTGGGCAAGGAGAAGAGATCTTGGAGGGTGTGGGGAAAGGGAATGGAAAGGGGGGGGTCATATTTAGTTGTGGAGTCAATTTTAGAATCAAAATCTGTGACTTTTCCTCTAAAAATAAACAAAGATCGACACAGTGCTGAAAGGAATATCTCAAGCAAAATTTCTAAGATTATACATTTAATCCCCATCAAATTTACATGAACTGGAACATTTCAAAATGTAGGTGTATTTGTATATTAATATGTATTATCTTTCCAATGTTTATCCTATTTTATTGTAGTCATATATCAGGGTATTACAAAAAACACTAAGCACTGGGGAAATAACTCTGCTCTTAAAGCATCAGTGTGAAAGAGGCTGGAAATGATTGGAAAACACACCAGTAGAGACTTTCAAAATATCAAGGCAAATCAAAGGGCATTAAAGTTTAGTGGTGTCTCTTTATTTTTTAAAAAAAGTCTCTGAAGGAATGTGTAAATATTACACTATTTTAAAAACACTGAAGCAATTTTTGAGCAGCACCATTTGATTTCCACTGTAAAGATGTACATTTTATTCAGTGTTCATTATTTTTAATAATAAATATTTAGTAGTATTGATATTACCTTTGATTAGGTTTTGGTTTCGTATGTGTCACCTGATGGCATAGTACAACGTTATTTTGTTGCCGTGTACTTTGCATTCAGAATGCAGATTTTTTAAAAAATTGTCATTTGCCATCATACTTCATATTCTCACACATTTTTAATGTTTTTATTTATTTAATTGGAAATAGATATATTTCAGACTGCCTCAGCTGATTGTTTCCAAAGCAGTTTACAACATGCAGTAAAGCCAGTAAAACAAATAAAAATTGAACAATTAAAACCAGTAGCGTAAAAAGCAGCAAAACCAGCAATGAAGTCATTGCCTTAAACAGTGTGAGTGGAGTTGTGCTAGAGGACATTCACCCCTCCCATAGTAGCCTTCTGTGGCCCTTCACAGTATGGTCCTGTGGAATTGCACCTCAAGATCCAAGCCATCAAAAGAAATAATAAAA